CAGAGCCCTCTGTGTATCACCTGAGTGTTAAGTTCCGCTTGTAGGACTGGGTACCAGTTATCTAATGAAAAATGTTCATCCTATCAGGGAAGTATAAAGTTTTCCCAGTGATTTAGAGAAGGGAAACCCAGACCGATTCCTCTTCCTTCCAGCCCGTTTCCTGAACATCACTCTGCTTGCTTGTTGCTCTGTTTTATTTCAGAGCCAAGATTAGCACCCTTCTTCCAGGAGGAGGACAACCACCAGAGGCTGCAGATGGGGCTGGTAAGTGGCCTGTGGGTTCTTTGGGTGCTGGCTAACACTGGGCCCCAGGAAAAGAGGAAAGGGCTGGCTTGTACTCATTCTCATCTTATTTTTTATCCATTCTTTCAAAAAAATACTTGCTACCAGTCATTAAATCTTGTTTGGTGAAAGAACATTCAGTGACATAAGAGAAATATTGGATGAAAAAAAAGCAGATTACAAACCATTGAGATGGGTATGCACAACCAAAAAGAAAATAACCTCTGAAATGTTATTATAGCTGATAGGATTATGGATGACTTTAATTTTCATCTTGATGGTTATGGTAGAAAAGTTGAAGAACAAAGAAAATTGTGCTTTTTAACTAAAAACATTTAAATATTTGTTTTAAGCCTAATCAGTTAGCACATGCCAGAGACTGATTTGAAATAATACGTCACTCTACCTTGGCCCTGAAAGCCATAGTGTAGGTTTTACTCAATGCATCATATATATGACTCTTCTAAAGTAGAAGACGCATGTGTGATGTCAGTTGTCCAATTCTCATGGGCTGTTTATTGGAGAAAAGATCTCTCTCAGCCAAGAGGGCTTCCAGATGATTAAGAAATTTGGGCCAAAGGGAGAAAAGGAGAAGGAGGAAGGAGAAAGAAAGAGGCAAAGAAAGGTGAAGAGGGATGACAAAGTCAGGCACTGATTAGGGAACCCTGAGGATTAGCAGAACCAAAAGAGTATAGAAACAAGACTTTTGGAGGCATGATGATGAATAATTTATTACTTTTTGCATACTGAGGGATTCATTTAGTGTCAAAATGCAATGCCTAAAGTGTGAAGAGGGAGATATGCTTGATGCATTTTTTTTTTTTTCTTTTACTCCTGCCTCTGTCCTTTTAAACATCCCAAACCACTGCCCCTTTAGCATAGTCACTGAGTGTTTAGAGTTGTTCCTGTTAGTTCTGCAGGAACCATTGTTCTCCAGGATCAAAAACAAACATACAAACAAACAAACAAACAAACACCAAACTCACTGCCCCCGAGTCAGATCCAACTCATAGTGACCCTCCTTGGGTTTCTGAGGTGCTATCACTATGGATTGCCCAACTTTCCCTCTGAGGAGTGGCTGGTGGGCTTGAACTGCCAGCCTTCTGGTTAGCAGTCAAATGCTTTAGGCACTACGCTACTAGAGCTCCCTCTCCAGGATCAATAAGTAGATTTCAGTCCTTTGGTAGGTCCAAAGGCATGTGATGTCCAAGTTGGTGACCACCACCAGCCTCTTCTTTGGAGAATTCTTTTTAGAGCCTGGAGCCTCAGCTGCTCACTGGGCATGGGTGAATCATAGGTAGTTTCCCTTGAGAAGAATATTGAGACCGCTTAGTTCATGCCCATCAGAGGAATATTGAGGGTTATATGCTGAGAGCAGTGGGATCTTCACACCAGTATTTTTCATATTGATAAGGAATGCTGATATATAGATCTAATTCCAACTATTTCCATGTGTGAGGGGGTAGGTTTTGACTTATTTAACCCATATCCTATTTTTAGATGGTATCTGAGCTAAAAGACTACCTTTTGCAACATCTACAAGGTGTAGAAAAGAAGAAAATTGAACAGATGGTTCTGGACTACATTTCAAAACTGGTTGGTTTTGATTTTTGTTCTTTTCTTCCTCCCTGGTCTGTAGTTTCTAGTATGTGGTTCACTGAAGCCATCCACATGTTTTTCAAATTAGATTTTTGGAGGGCTCCCATTTTCAAAACAGTGTATTTGGTGCTATAAACTGAGGAAAGGGAAATAAGAACCAATGAACAAAGGGGATTTTGTTTTGGAAAATGGCTTTTAGTCCTCACTTCAAATAGTGATTAAATACTTGTGGAAGCCTGGGACAATGATGAATTCAGCATGGTTGCCAAATGTTCACATCTTATGTTGGCATCTTTCAGCTTCTTATTAAACAGCAGGTAGTGATTTCTGTACATTGAGACTTATGCAAGCATGAGAAAATTTGAACTTCAGTTTTTAATTAGCTCCAACAGACTAACAAGACCAGATGCCAGCTCACTTATGTAAATACTGCCATATTAGAGCCTGCTGATATGATTGATAGCTTATTTAGTTTCTTATTGAAATGAACAAAACTCACTGCCGTCGAGTGGGATCCAACTGCTAGTGACCCCTCCTTGGGTTTCCAAGGTGGCATCTCTATGAAATTAGATTCCCCAGTCTTCCTTCCAAGGAATGGCTGGTGGGTTTGAACTGCTAGCCTTCCGGTCAGCAGTCAAGTGCCTTAGGCACTATGCCACCAGAGCTCCCTATTGAAATAGTGCAATCCAAATTAGTATCACTAGTCCATGTGTAAGGAGAAATGATGTGGTAGTTTGAGTTTTGAGATTGTCCTGACTCTCCAAAAGCATATGGCATTGAGACCTGACCCTGCTTAGAAAATAGGAATATTATAAATGACAAATTTGAAAGAAAATATTTAAATATACAGAAAGAGAAGTAACACTCATGTTTTCGTAAGTGTGCAAATATGTCAGCATGAAG